TTGGCTGCACTGACCGGATCTGTGCTGATCCAAAGCCAGGATCCAGGAGCTTCTTCCAGGTCTCCCACGTGGGTGCAGGGGCCCAAGGACTTGGGCCATCTTCTACTTCTTTCCCAGGCCACAGCAGAGAGCTGGTTAGGAAGTGGAGCAGCCAGGACTTGAACCGGCGTCCATGTGTGATGCCAGCACTGCTGGCAGCAGCTTTACCCACTACACCACAGCACCAGCCCCTAGATTTGAATATTAAATACCTTTTTTTAACCCTTAGACTGTTACAGAAAATGTAATGGGGGAATAATTGAATCACCTGATTTGATTATGGGAACATCAAAGTTTATTTATAGTAAACTTAAGTCTCCTGGGTTATTAGGAGCTGAGCATAGTACAGATCCTAAGTTTTGTGTATGTGCCTGTTAGTAGATTTGTCAAGTTCTAGGTGGAAGTGTTGCTGAAATTCTGATTGTTTTCCCCAGTGAATTTGTGGTGTTCTTGGTTCTCAGTTCTGCCCCCATCCAGTAACATAGCTGCACAAGTAGATACCAGTGCGACTGAAGCCATAAAGAGGAAACCACTGTACTTGCTCTAACATTTGTGTACAAATTTACTGTTACTGATAGAGAGTTTTTGTTGCCACAAAGGTAAGCAGAGTTGGAAGTGAAAATACTGGCACAGAACTGAGCGTGTAAGTGCCAGCGAGGCAGAGGACGTCTTACTAGGACATTCCTGGCTTGAGGCCGACCTCGGCCCTCTGTCTCGTGGGCACTCTGAGCTCCTGCTTTCAGTCCCTCGGGTGCCATCAGCTGTCTTTCCAGCTGAGCTGACCGCTTCTGCTCTGTGTAGTCCCTCCTTAGATGCCCACAGCAAGAGCCACTTACTGTGGGAGTTGTGATTAGATCAACAATGATGCCGTTTCAGAGGAGGGAAAGTGCACAGTCAAGTCATAAAGGGGTTGCTTAATTTCTGCTATGTCATTGTCTTCAAAAAAGCTGGGGTAGATCCACGGCCTTAAATAGAAAACAAACCCTTTCAAAACAAATATAATCAAGTTCATGTTGGTAATGCTTCCTAATTATTTTTTTTTTAATTTATTTATTTGACAGTCATAGTTACAGACAGAGAGAAGGAGAGACAGAGAGAGAGGTGTTTTATCCGCTGGTTCACTCCCCAAATGGCCACAATAGCCTGAGCTGAGCCGATCCGAAGCCAGGAGCCCACAGCCTCTTCTGGGTCTCCCACTCGGGCACAGGAGCCCAAGGACTTGGGTCATCCTCCACTGCCCTCCCAGGCCATTGCAGAGAGCAGGATCAGAAGTGGAGCAGCCAGGACTCGAACCAGCGCCCATATGGGATGCCAGCACTGCAGGTGGTGGCTTTACACTGCGCCACAGCACTGGCCCCTCCTGAGCATTTTTTGAGGGAGGCTACTCAAAGCAGATTTTGCTGTATTATTGGCACTTTATATTGCCTCACCCAGAGCATCGTAATACCCAGAGCGTCTGTTTGCACAAATAATGTCACAAAAATAGAGGGGTTCTTGTGATGGTGATCTTTGTAATGTGATCTAAAAGCTAGGAAAAAGAAAACAGTTTTAATATCATTGATGGAAGAATCTATATACTGTCTGTAAGCTGACTATAAGCAAGCAACACTATGAGCTAGTTTTAAATATCCAAGACAGGATAAATGTTTGTAGCTTGCTACTGTGGTTTCAGAGGAAGATAACAGAAACATCTGGCTCTGCCAGGAGCTAGTAGCATGTTAAAATTACTCATGTGCTGGTCTCTGGCTGTTTTCCAAAGGATCATGCCTTTTATTTTTTTCTCTTCACAGAAACGATAGATAATTCCCAAGGAGCTTACCAAGAGGCATTTGATATAAGCAAGAAAGAGATGCAACCCACACACCCAATCCGCCTGGGGCTGGCTCTGAACTTTTCTGTATTTTACTATGAGATCCTTAATAACCCGGAGCTCGCCTGCACACTGGCTAAAACGGTAAGATGTGTGTTGATTTCTGGGTTTTCACTTGGATGCTCAGGGATGACTGCTTTCTGTTTATTGACCACCTGAAGGAAGCTAGAGATGAGAAGATGGGATGGCTGCCGGGTGTGGTCGTGGGAGTGGCTGTTTAGTGCATCCCTCAAAGCAGGAGAGTGATGAGGGCTTTTGCAAGTACCTGTTAGTTTTTACGGGAACACGTCTGTTCCCCGTTACTGCTGTATGGCCTGTGAAATGGGTGGTGAGTGTTTGGCCTGCTGATTCATCTGGTCTGGCCCTGACAAGGCAACCCCAGCAGGACTTAGTTTGGTGTATCTATAACAAGCTAATTGTTTCCAAGTTAATTATTTTGTATGGCCCACAGATTATGTCACAGAGCCCCTTGCCAGAAAAAGTTCCTCTACCCCTGCTGTAAGAACCAAGTCCCTGCTTATGAAGCCTGTAGCTCTGCAGTCGCGGGTCACGCTCCCGCAAGCTGTAAAGTGAGAGTCCGGGGGAGTGATCCCACTGAGCTGGGTGTTCGCGGACAGTTCCTGTCCCTGTGCCGTTGTTGACCGTGGGTGTGGTTACTCCTCAGGCTTTTGACGAGGCCATTGCAGAGCTCGACACACTGAATGAAGACTCCTACAAAGACAGCACCCTCATCATGCAGTTGCTTAGAGACAATTTAACAGTGAGTCCTTTACTCTTCTCGTTTCATTTCCTTTCAGGAACAAAGACAGGTACATTTTGCAGAATGTAAGAGAATCTTTCGTATAAATAATTCTGGACCCCTGGTTTGGTAACTTTTTCTGTGACTAAATGGGATTTTTTTGTTTTTTTACATTAGCACTGTGTTCAGCTTCACTGGCCGGGAAGTTACGAAGGCTCTGCCCTCCTGCCCTCCTGTAGTTGTAAAGGCACAGAAGGATGCTGAGTGAGATAGTTTTGTAGAAAAGTAGAGAGAGGCAAAACTAGTTCTGACCAGATAGACTTCGGAGCTCTGGTCTTGTGTTGTTCTGTCTCTGGAGACAGCTCTTCAGGGAGTTTTGTTTGTTTCAGCATCTTAGCAATAACTTAGATTATGCAAGCCTTTCTAAAATTGGCAGTAGCATTTTGATGTTGGTCTAATAAAATCCAGCTTTTTAAACTGATTATACGTCAGTAAACATGGGCTACTCCCTTAGCTTTCCACCGTAACATCAGAGATAGCCTTACAGACAGTTGTCTTAGTTTTAACCTCCTAGTTTAAGAGGCCCTCCCCCATTTTTTAAGATTTATTTATTGAGAGGCAGATGTACAGACAGAGGGAGAGACAGAAAGGTCCTTCATCTACTGGGTCACTCCCCAAATGGCCACAACAGCCAGAGCTGACCTGATCCAAAGCCAGGAGCCAGGAGCTTCTTCAGGGTCTCCCACGTGGTGCAGGAACCTAAGCACTCGGGCCGTCTTCCACTGCTTTCCCAGGCCATAGCAGAGACTGGATTGGAAGAGGAGAAGCCGGGACATGAACTGGTGCCCGTATGGGATGCTGGCACCAAAGGCAGATGCTTAACCTGCTACACCACAGCGCCAGCCCCTGAAGAACCCTTTCTAAACACATAGATACATATGCTGTTCCCTAGCTTCTGCCACCCACTCTGTTTAGAGACCTTTTGAGCAACTCAAGGAATATTGTATTGTGTGTGTCATTTTGTAAAATGCATAGTGAAAGGGTATGCTTTCACGCTGTGAGAGGGGCCCCAGTCAAAGTCTCTATGTGAGGAATTTACTGCTCAGAATTATCGTCACAGGACATGGTGTACTTGTCTACATCGTAACGTCATATGGTTCTCTTTCTAGTTATGGACATCAGACAGTGCAGGAGAAGAATGTGATGCAGCAGAAGGGGCGGAAAACTAAATGGATACAGGGCGTCACCCTCCTTCCCTCCAAGAAACCTTTTTACACATCTCCATTCCTTCCTCCACTTGGATTTCCTATAGCAGAGAAGCCCGCTCATGTGTATGGAAGCAGCTGTTTATAGTCCTTTCACACGCAGCTTTGGGAAAACTCCATTCCTTGGTTTGTGTCTGTCTTGGCCTCCTGGTGTGCAGTTACTGCTGTAGAAAAGTATTAGTAGCTTCATTTCATGGAAACATAAGTAACTTCCAAACACTTATGTAGAGGACTAAAAATGTATCTGGTATTTAAGTAATCTGAACCAGTTGCAAGTGACTGTGTTTTGTATTACTGTGAAGATATGAAAATGTAGTTAATTACAATTCCAAGGATGTTCTGCACCTCTTCTTCATTTCTACATTCCCTCATTACTCTTCAGGGTTTCCTTTCAGTGAGCAGCTTTTCCATGCTCTTCATGCATTCCTTCTTAGCAGGAATCCGGGAGTGTTAGACTGAGTGGACAAGCACTTGACAGTTCGGGCTGGGGTGGCACATTGGAACGCCTCCTGCATCAGATCACAGAGGTCACACATAGGTGACAACAGGGAGTTTCCTGATTCACTCTTTGTTTGCTGCTGTTTGAGTTGACAATTTCCCTCCCAATAAAAACTCACTTGCACCTCCTGCCTTCGTAGTTCTGGTATTCACTTCACTATGTCACAGAAGTAGTGTGTCGCTGCCAGAATCAAAGTGCATGCCGTTTCTGAACACACCAGCAGGGGAGCTGATGAGCGCCAGTCCACGTCTAAACTTCAGTGCTTTTCCTGCAGGTCTGTGCACAGGGGAGGGGTGGCCAGTTTGTCTAGTGATTGTTGCTTAGAGAGTTGGACCACTATCGTGTGTTGCTAATCATTGACTGTAGTCCCAAAAAAGCCTTGTGAAAATGTTATGCCCTATGTAACAGCAGAGTAACATAAAATAAAATTACATTTTATAAACCATTTACTATGGCTTTGTAACAATTGCATACCCGTATTTTAAGGGACAGGTACATTTACTACTTTCTGAAGTTTATGGATACTTCCCTCTTATGTAAAATGTGGTAGTGGTACTCATACTTCTGCGTTGTGACACACTTGTCTGGGGACGCCTAGAAATGTATGGAATTGGATTACATTTCTCAGAGTGTTTTCCCAAAGGTCAAATTTCATGGGCCATCTGTTGCTCAGATGTGAATGATATCTGGTTCAGTGTTATGGCATAAAGTGGACCTTTTGAAACTAGAAAAGCTAATTATGTGGTTGTGAGTGCCTTGGCTGGTGTTAGAATGATGTTTCGATGGTTATTTAAAGTTCTAGGGTGCCTTGCTTGTTTAATTTTCAGATAATTCTCTTTGTAAATGTTCAGTTATAACATCGAATTGCAATTACTGTTGGTTCTCTGTCACAATGGCTGTTGTACCGAAATCAGGTCAGTCTTAAATGCTGACTTGAGGACTGATTTCTAAGACAAGATAATCTGGAAGGTAGCTAGAGGATTATCCCTTATAAAATGTCAGGATAAAACAAGGCTTCATTTATACTTGATTTGTTTCCTGAGGGGGATGTAAAAGGGCAGAACTCAGTAGAGTTTGGGGAAGTACCCATTTCACTAAGATCAGTAGAGCTTTGGTCCCCCAAAATTGAAATCTAGGACATTTTCTTTTCTTTTTAAACTTGCTTAAAAGAGTGACAGATCTATCCATCCACTGGTTCTCTCCCCAGATGCCCGTAGCAGCCACTGCTGAGTCAGCTAAAGCCAGGAGCCAGGGACTTCATCCAGTTCTCCCACGTGGGCGGCAGGGCCAGGCAGGTGAGCTGTCATCTGCCTCTCAGGGTGCGTTAGCAGGGAGCTGGGTCAGGAACTAACCTTCACTCTGTGGGATGCAGGCGGCGCAAGCAGCAGCTTAGTAACCTACCGACGACAGCCGCCCCAGGACACGACCTTCTCCGTAAGACCTCCAGTGAAGATGGAAAGAACGTGCGCCTGAGGGGTGGGAGGTGGAGGCTTATTTTAAGGACAATCAGTACTGAGTTATCATTTCAGTGACCACAGTAGCCGCATTCTGAAGGGCAGCTTGCCCATCTGCTGGTTCCCGCCCCAAGTGACTGGCACAGCTGGAGCCAGGAACTCGGTCCCCGTCTCCCACCCTGGTGGCAGGGACCCAAGCACTGTCGTCACCTGCCTCCCAGGGCTCACAGCAGGAGCCTAGAATCCGGGGTGGAACTGGGGCTGAAAACCAGGCGCTGCCGTGTGGGGAGTGGGCACCTCGGCAGCGCCTTCCCACTGCGCCTTTAAAAGTGGGCCCAGCCTGTGACGTCTCCTTTTGACACCAGCTTGCTGGGCTTCCTTGAACTAAGAGTGGATAATGATAGACACTGCCAAGAGCTCAGTAGGGGAGGGTGCCTTTCCTCAGGGAGAACAGTGGAAATACATGAGAATTTACGGTGGGTAGGATTTACAGCCGCATTTGAGCTTTGTCCCTTAACTCTGAGGGAGACCTACAGATATTACAACCACTGGGTCCCTCCCCAAGATGCCTGTAATGTCAGGAACGGACCAGCCAAAAGCTGTTGGAACACCTGTGTCCCATGGTCAGGTTACGGTTTCCAGCTTCTTGACAGTGCTACCTGAGAGGCAACAGACGATGGCTCAGGTTCTCGGACCCCGGCCACCCGTGGAGACCTGCATTGAGCTCCAGGCTCCTGGCTTGGGCCTGGCCAAGCCCTGGCTGTTTAAGGAGTGAACCAGCAGATAGAAGATGGCTGGCTGGCTCTCGGGGTGTGGGGTACAGTGGGGGAAGCTGCTACCCGGGACACATATCCTGTATCGCGGTGCTGGTTGAAGTCTGCCCTGCTTCCATTCGGCTTCCTGCTGGTAGTGCCTGGGAGGCAGCAGATGATGACCCGAGTCCTTGGTCCCTGCCACCCATGTGGGAGGCCCAGATGGAGTTCATGGCTTTTGACTTTGGCCTGGCCCTGGTGTTGCCAGTTTGAGGAGTGAACCAGCAGATGGAAGGTACTGTGCTCTCTCTGCCTTTCAAAATAAAGTGAAAATGGGGTAGGGGCCATGGCTGTGGTATAGCAGGTAGAGGCAGCCTGAGGCACTCACATCCCGTATGGGCACTGGTTCGAGTCCCGGCTGCTCCACTTCAGATCCATGTCCCTGCTGTTGCTCCTGTTCTGAAAGATCAATATTAATTGTATGCTTGCTGCTTCAGTGCACTGGCAAGACCACCAGCCGGGGTTCTAGGCCGACCTTCCTGCAGATTAGCCATGTGTTGTTCTGAGTCAGTTCCTTACTAATAGGCACTGTTTCTTAACCATCTTTGCAAATTCAGATGTGTTTCAAATAGATTTCTCCTGGTTTATGGCTCAGGAAATAGGAGCGGAGGTTACTGGTTATGCCTGGGTCTTAGCTGAGTCGGTGATGGGTCCAGGATCTGAATCTGGTCCTTGCTGCTTTGAGCTGTCAGCTCCTAGCTGCTGTGCTCATCTCGTTTGGAGATTTCGGGCAGTAATACCAGCTGAGTACTTTTTAAAATTCTAGGTCATGACCAGTTAGTGGAAACGTAATGGGTCACAAGCAGCTTTGTACATTTGTAATGGAAGGGGAAACACATACCAGTATTTTGTGAGACCAGTTCCAGGTTGTGGACGTGGGTGGTGATGTCAGACTGGTGAGATAGGAAATGTGAGTTAGGGTTGCGCCTGGGTTTGAGCCCAGATTCCAGCCTCGGATTTTTAATTTGGGCTGGAGTGCAGCTCTGGAGTAGCTGGGTTTCTTAACTCAAATGCTTATCAAGAGTTGTCCAGTTAATGCGATTTGAACAAGAGGTTGTAAGAGTTCTCTTGCTACCTGGGGAGTGATGTATATTCTACGTGTTTGCAGTGCCAGTGGCAGTGAGCTGACAGTCCGTTTCGCTCGGCATTGGCTTTGCCCTTGTTCACCATACGTGCTACCAAAGACAGGAGCTTCACTGTTGGCCAGGCTGCCTAGGAAGCCGTCACAGTTACTAATCTTTAGTAGAACAAGTCTTTTACAGTCGACTGTAGCAGTCCAGCTGGGATTTGTAGCCTGGGTTTCCTGCACTGCCAGAGGTCTAGAGGACTTGAACCACATAATTAGGTCTGGCGTAACCTTCCCATTGTTTTTAAGTCAGGTTATTTGTGTTTGCTTGAAAGGCAGAGTGACTGATCTTCCATCTGCTGGTTCATTCCCCAAATGCCTGCAACAGCAGGGCCTGGGCCAGGCTTAGCCAGAAACCAGGAACGCAATTCACGTCTCCCCTGTGGGTGATAGGAACCCAAGTACTTGAGTCACAGCCTCCTGCCCCGCTGGGTGTGTGTGCATTAGCAGAAGCAGGGCAGGCCTGGAGTCGGCCCTTCACGATGGAGAGAGGCATCTTAACCAGGGCCGGACACCTGCCGCCCGTTTCCTTTTTGTCTTTGTTTTTTTAATTTATTTGTTTCAAAGCCAGAGTTACAGAGAGGCAGAGAAAGAGAGAGGTCTTCCCTCTGCTGGTTCACTCCCCAGGTGGCCGCAATGGCCAGAGCTGCACCACTCCAAAGCCAGGCTCCGGGAGCTTCTTCTGGGTCTCCACGCAGGTGCAGGGGCTCAGAGACTTGGGCCATCTTCCACTGCTTTCCCAGGCCACAGCAGAGAGCTGGATCAGGAGTGGAGCAGCTGGGACTCGAACCAGCCCCCATATGGTTTTGCTGGCCCCAAAGATTTATTTTTTTTTTTATTTTTTTTTTATTTGAAAGAGTTGTGAGAGGTAGAGACTGAGAGGTCTTCCATACACTGATTCATTCCCTAAATGGCCACAGCTGGAGCCAGGAGCTTCTGGGTCTCCCACGTGGGTGCAGGGGCCCAAGCACTTGGGCCATCCTCTGCTTTCCCTGGTACATGAGCAGAGAGCTGGATCAAAAGAGGAGCAGCCAGGATTTGAACCAGCGCTCATATGGGATGCCAGTGCTGTAGGCTAGGGCTTTAACCCACTGCACCATGGTGCCAGCCCTTTGCCACCCATTTCTGTCAGTGTGTACCGACAGTGCCAAATATCCCTGCCACTGCTTTGCCTTTGGGGACCACTCCCCACCATCAGACTTGAATAGCTTGGGTCCTGGAGGGACAGCGGATGACTTGTTTCTCATCTTTAGTTTACAGTACAGGTGTTTTACCTGTCTGGAGTTACTACCAAGTGCTCTTCATTCTAGCCCTGTGGGTCTTCAGATAGCCCTGTGTAAACCAGAGGGAAAATAAAAAAGGCCCTGGATGGCCGCCGCTGCGGCTCACTAGGCTAATCCTCCGCCTGCGGCGCTGGCACTCTGGGTTCTAGTCCCAGTCGGGGCGCTGGTTCTGTCCCGGTTGCTTCTCTTCCAGGCCAGCTCTCTGCTGTGGCCCAGGAAGGCAGTGGAGGATGGCCCAAGTCCTTGGGCTCTGCACCCGCATGGGAGACCAGGAGAAGCACCTGACTCCTGGCTTCAGATCAATGTGGTGCGTGGGCTGCAGCACACCGGCTGCAGTGGCCATTGGAGGATGAAACCAACGGAAAAAAGGAAGACCTTTCTCTCTGTCTCTCTCACTGTCCACTATGCCTGTCAAAAAAAATAAAAAAGATCTGGGTTTGAGCCGTTGTGACTCTTCATTCTGACTACTGGAACTTATTAGCAACCTTGGAGGAGTCACCAGCAAGATTTCTGAAGACCACTGTGTTCTGACCACAACTTGCGCTAGGAGAGTACCTGGGATGAGATTGGTAGCCCTTTGTGTGTGTGCTTGTGATTTAGGAGTGGAAAGGACTGGGGTAGATGGCAGCTCAGGCTCCTGTGTTCATTCGCTGGCGAGTCAGGGATTACTAGGTACCAACACTTTAAATTGATTGATTGATTTGAAAGGCAGCAGTAGAGAGATCTTCAGTCTACTGCTTCACTCTACAAATGGCTGCAATAGCCTGGTCAGGGCCAGACTGGAACCAAGAGCCAGGAACTCCATCCAGGTCTCCCAAATGCATGGCAGGGGCCCAAACACTTGAGCCATTATCTGCCGCCCCCCAGGCACATGAGCAGAGAGCCGGATTGGAAGTGGAGTAGCTGCCTGCAGCCCGGTGGTGTGCTGCGACTACCAGCCTGGTGCTGGAACCTTCACCTTCACTTCATAGCTGGGATCTTCATCTCACCTGAGACAGGCGCACGGCCTCTTCATGTGAGTCAGCGGGTGAAGGAGTTTCCAAGTGTAAAATGGCTGTGGATGAGCGCAGCCTAATTTGGGAGTGGAAAGTTGTGACAGTGAGAAGATCAACTGCGCCAGGAGCAGACCTATTGCCCTAGATTTTCAAGGACAGACACAAAAAGAAAATGACAGTGTGACTTGGGAATGCAAAGTTTAAAAAAAAAAAAACTATTAAGCAATGGTTTTTCTTCTAATTAGCATCCTCTGATGAGATTCATGGGGGAAAGGTCATTCCGTTGAAATAAATGAAGAAAAATGACTTCGACCCAGAGAAGGACAGCCAAGAAGAAATGTGCTTGTCTTTGGGCAAGAGTTAACCTCAGGCCAGGGTTCAAAGTTCTGCAGGCATCGAGTCACTTGGGTGCCTGTTGACTGGGTGGGTCTGAGGGGTGCCTGGTGGGCCATTTGCATTTCTGCCAAGTTCTTTAAGATTTATATATTTGAAAAGCAGAGTTGAGCTGTAATTGTCGCCGGCACCGCTCTGTTGCCCTGGAACCTCCTGGCCAAGCAGCATGACGTCCGCTTTGGAAAACTACATAAACCGAATTGTAGCTGTTATTACTGCCGATGGGAGAATGATCGTGGAAACACTGCAAGGCTTTGACCACACCATTAATTTGATTTTGGATGAAAGCCATGAACGAGTATTCAGCTCATCACAGGGAGTAGAACAAGTGGTACCAGGGTTATACATCGTAAGAGGTGACAATGTTGCAGTCATTGGAGAAACTGATGAAGAGACAGATTCAGCACTTGATTTGGGGACTATTTGAGAAGAACCTCTGAACTCTAGCACACTGAGGAAGAACTGTATACATTGGACATCTGTAAATCTCTGTATAGAAACTGATCATTCTGAGGATGGTGGGAGTGTGGAATTTCTATGAACATGTAATTGTGATTCATTGTAATATGTAAATTAAAATGTTTCTACCTTTAATTGAAAAAAGAAAAAAGAAAGGCAGAGTATACAGAGAAAGGAGACAGATCTTCTATCTGCTTGTTCATTCCCCAAATGGCCACAACAGCCAAAACTGGACCAGGCCTAAGCCAGGAGCGTCTTCCAGGTCTTCCACGCAGGTGCAGGGGCCCGAGCACTTGGGCCATCTGCTGCCTTCCCAGGTGCATTAGCAGGGAGCTGGGTCAGAAGTGGAGCAGCCCCAGTTCCTGGTATTGCAGGTGGCAGCTTTACTGGCTACGACACAATGCCGTCACCCTCCCCTCCACCACCACCACCTCTGCTTTAAGGAAGCCTGGGTGATAAAGGCCAGAGAAGAGATCTGGTGAGTGGGGCTGGTGGTGTGATGTGACATCGGCATCCCAAGTGATCGTGGGTTCAAAGTCTGGGCTTCTCCACTTGTGATCCAGCTCCCCGCTACAGCCCCTGGGGAAGCAGCAGAAGATGGCCCAAGTGCTTGGACCCCTGCACCCATGTGGGAGACACGAATGGAATTCCTGACTTCTGGCTTGGGCCTGGCCCAGCTGCTGCTGTGGCAACCATTTAGGGAGTGAAGCGGCAGATGGAAGAGCTCTGTCTCTCTAACTGCCTTTCAAATAAAATAAATCTCTAAAAACTAACTGAGTACAATAGCTGGTGAGTCCCCTAGCAGGCAGTGAGAACACATCGCAGGGGCCCGGGCCTGGTGTGGGTGCAGCACACCGTGGAAGCGTATGAGACGCCTTCCTCCCGCCGACTGGGTCTACTTGGCTTATAGAAGCAAAGATAGCACCAGGGGCTCATGGGGTGAACGGCCTGTGAGGCCCTCTTAGCTGTTGCCCGTGTTCACTGCCTTGTATTACAGTAAGAAGATGGGGCCGGTGCGTGGCTCACTTGGCTAATCTGCCTGTGGCGCCGGCACTCTGGATTCTATTCCCAGTTGGGGCGCTGGTTCTGTCCCGGCTGCCCCTCTTCCAGTCCAGCGCTCTGCTGTGGCCCGGGAAGGCAGTGGAGGATGGCCCAAATCCTTGGGCCCTGTACCCGCATGGGAGACCAGGAGGAAGCACCTGGCTCCTGGCTTCAGATTGGCGCAGCGCCAGCTGCAGCGGCCATTTGGGGGGTGAACCACCTTTGTCTCTCTCTCACTGTCTAACTCAGTGTGTCAAAAAAAAAAAAAAAGGTAAGAAGATGGTTTTATTCCCATGCTGCCCAGGCAGAGTCCATGGTGTGCCTAGGGACTCATCTTTAAGGTCGTTGGTAAGGAGGCTGGGGATCTGGCTGGCGGGTGGGTGGCTGCGAGGCCCGAGATCTACATCCAGTACTGATACTTGGGATCAGTCCTAATGGGAGGTTGGTCTGAAGCTTGGGACGGGGAGCCAGGGACATGGCCCAGCAATGCAGCAGTGGCGGGAGGACAGCAGAGTCACCTCTGTAGGGGCCGTGGCACTCGGAGCCCAGGGGTCCTGTTGCAACACAGAGCCTTTGAGGCCGTTCGCTCTGCCACCCCTTGCCAATCCCTGCAGTTCCTGCATCGTTGGTTTAAGGCAGAACTAAAAGATGAACAAGCTGCTCTTTTTTAAAGAATGGAATGGAAGGGAAACGTAGGTGTCGCGTATTGAACTGGCATAACGATACGCTTTTAAGGTTCAGGGGTAGAAAAAGGATCCGTGGAAGGCTATTTCAGGCCAAACCACAAGTGACAGCGAACCTGGAGTTAACCTCTGCAAGTGTGGCTTACGTTTCTGATAGATAATGAAAAGGTTAAAGTCATAGTCAAGTCTTTGTCGGCCACCTCGTGTATCTCCCAAGGCTGTGAGTGGCACCAAAGGGTGTACGGGCAAGAGGGGCTGGCACCAGGGCACAGCAGGGTGACCCCCGGCTTGGAACGCCAGTTCCCGTCCTGGACTGCTGTGAGTCGTGGGTTGTCCGGTTCCCATTCAGCTTCCTGCTGAGGTGCTAGGAAGGCTCCAGAGGGTGGCTGTGGTGCTTGGGCCCCTGCCGCCCACATGGGAGACCCGGATGCAATTCCCGGCTCCTGGCCCCAGGCTTCAAGGACAAATGTGTCTACTTCCTGAGAGCTAAGAGCCCTTGACGAGGTAAGAGGTCACTGCACCCTCGTGTCTCCCGAAGTTCCTGTCTCGTTCCCTGCAGTGTCGCAGTAAGTGCTCAGCTTGAGTGCCCTGCTGCTGTGGGCCTGGAGGTACAGTTAGCGACGGGCCTTCCAGCTGTCCTGTGGTCTGATGATCCTGTTAGCAGCAAGCTGTCTGTCAGGTGGCCATCAGACACTAGCCTGTGGTGTTATGGTGTAGCGGGTGAAGCCGCTGCCTGTGACGTGGGCGCAGGTTCAAGTGCTGGCTGCTCTACTTCGCTCCAGCTCCCTGCTAGTGCGCTGTAAGCTTCAGGAGAACGGCTGATGCAGGCATCCTACAGGCATGCCTCACACCCAAGGCTCTGCTCTGATGGCTGTTATGCATTAAGATTCTGCAGAGGCCGGCGCTAAGCCTCCACCTGTGGCACAAGCATCCCTGTTGGGTGCCGGGTTCCGTCCTGGCTGCTCCACTTCCCATCCAGCTCTGCTGTGGCCTGGGAAAGCAGTGGAAGATGGCCCAAGTGCTTGGGCCCCTGTACCCATGTGGGAGACTCGGAAGAAGCTCCTGGCTTCAGATCAGCTCAGCTCCGGCCATAAAAAGATTCTGCAAAATGTTTCCTTTGGAAGTAGGTCGCTGCAGGTAAAAGCAAACCCAGAACGTGGGGGCTTGGAAGTATCCTGGAGCAGGTGGCAATCATGCTCCTGTGTGTGCTTCAAGTTCCCATCTTCATCTTCTTCACCAGCTGCATGACCAGTGGCCGTCTGCTTTGGAATTATTTCTGGAAGAAGGCGCCATGTGGATAACTAGATGGTCGTGGTGGTCAGTACCAGGGCCTGCCTGTGATGCCGACAGAGAGTGAGCCCGTAAACACTGTGTTAGGGGCTGGCTCCTCAGGGTGTCCAGCCCGTCAGAGGCAAAGCAGATCAGGATTAGGAGACACAGCGGCATGGAAGCGAGAGTGCTTTCTGTAGTCCAAGCTCTAAGGTTTTCCTAGGCAGACCTCACTGACCAACATCCGGGCGCCCTGATGGTTGCTGTGCCGACTGCCACTCTGGGGACGCCCCTCCCATCAGCTTGCCTGTGAGGGCTGCCCAGCTGGGGCTGTGGGCTCTGCAACAGCTGTCCCCCACCCCTACCTCCCGCCAAGGTTGTCTCTGTCCTGAGCTGCCTGAGTGGTAAGTGACCCATTCCTCCTAAGCAGAACCAGACTGGCCCCCACTGCTTTCCTTTGTCCCCAGCTGCCTGATCTCTTGGCCACCAGGGGTAGAGGACAGAATGGAAGGAAGCCCTTCAGTCCGGCCCTGAGCCGGTGGCTTGGTTTCCCTAGGACGGACTCTTGAAATAAGTTTCCTCCGCTGCAGCCAGTGCCATGCCGAACACCAAGTGAGCTGCTCACAGTCTGTATGGCCCAGGACAAGGCAGTCAGGCCCCCCAAGCTCAGGACGGAGGCAGAGAACCCTGGGGAAGAACGGAACAGTGCTCACGCGGGTCCATGCACACCGCGACCTGTCCCCAGGGCTCCATGGATGAAAAGGGGTCAGAGCGGGAATAATGGTCAGGTGGGAGCTCGCTTCGCAGCTGACAGGGAAGGAGGCAGAATGAGAACGTTCTCTCCCTGGTGCCCCACAACAGCAGGCTTGGGCAGAACAGTGCTACTGGTGCGCGATGGCCGGCTGGCTTTCCTCTGTGTGTTCTGTGGCCCCAGCAGATCACTCTGAAATGCTACATCTCTGCCTGATGGGACCGGCCTGTCTGTCTCTCCCTCCCTCGCTGCCACCCCGTATTTTAACCTTGCTGCTGCAGAGGTTAAGCGGCTGTCAAAGTGTCCGGACAGCATTCACACCCAGGCTGTTGGCCTCCGACGTCCATGCTCTGGCTTCTGAGCCACATGGGATCGGCAGGAATGCAACGCGGAAGCGAGTGGTGAGTGTGTGAGTTCCACAGTCACAGAGGACGAGGCCTGGGGCCTGGATCAGAAGGGGTAGCTCCTGGGCCCCCATTGCTATGGGGGCTGCCATGGTGGGAAATGGCCTCGTATTTGCAAGAAATGGGAAATACTGAATAAAGGCTGAAACTTACAAAATTGGTGTGAAAGCCTCTCTGAGCTGGGCTTGGATTAGGGCATTGCCAAATACCCATGGCTTACAAATATGGGGGTGGGCATTTGGCCACTTAGTGGTCAGGACCCTGTTTGGGCAGGTTGGCATTCAGCTGTCCCTGGGTCACCTGCAGCCTATATATATTCAAGTCCTGGGGTTCGAGTCCCACCTTGGCTGCTGACTTACCTTCTTGCTAATGTGTACCCGGGAGGCAGCAGGTGATGGCTCAAGTAGTTGGGTCCCTGCCACCTGAGTTCCTGGCCCCTTGCTCTGGCCCAGCTCAGCCTTGGCCACTGCACACATTTGTGAACCAGCAGAGTGGAACTCTCTGCCTCTACCTCCCCGATAAATCAGAATAAATATAATAAAAGTGCATGACATACACCAGGTATCACACAGTTTCTCCACTGTAATAAAACAAATTAGACAATTTATCCCTGTTTTAAAAAAAATCCTCAAGGGGCCAGCATTGTGGTGTAGCAGAAGAGATGGCCGGAGAACTTGGGCCCCTGCACCCACATGGGAGACCTGGAAGAAGCTTCTGGCTCCCGGCTTCCGCCTCGCCCAGTCCTGGCTGTTGCAGCCATTTGGGGAGTGAACCAGCGGATGGAAGATCTTTCTCTCCTTCTCTCCCTATATCTCTGCCTTTCAAGTAAATGAATAAATCTTTAAAAGAAGAAGAAGAGGAGAGAGCCAGCGTTCTCGCACAGCGGGTTAAGCCACTGCTTGCAATGCAGGTACCCCTGCTGCTGCTCCTGGAAAGGCAGTGGAGAATGGCTCACGTCCTTGGGCCCATGACACCAAGATGGAGTTCTGGGCTCCCAGCTTTAACATGGCCAGGCCCTTGGGAGTAAACCAGCAGCTGGAAGATCTCTCTTTGTCTCTACCTTTTGAGTGAATGAAAATAAAGAAATGAACCTTGAAAATAAACAGTAGGCGCCGGCACTGTGGTAGTGGGTAAAACTGCTGCCTGCAGTGCCGGCATCCCATATGGGCGCTGGTTTGAGTCCTGGCTGTTCCACTTCTGATCCAGCTCTCTGCTATGGCCTGGGAAAGCAGTAGAAGATGGTCCAAGGCTTTGGGCCCCTGCACCCACGTGGGAGACCCGGAGGAAGCTCCTGGCTCCTGGCTTCAGATCAGCGCAGCTCTGGCCTTTGAGGCCAACTTGGGAGTGAACCATTGGATGGAAGATTTCTTTCTCTCCTTCTCTCTCTGCCTCAGCCTCTGTAACTCTGCCTTTCAAATAAATAAATCTTAAAAAAATAATGAAAGAAAATAAACAGCTTGGGCAGGTGCTGTGGCAAAGTGGGTTAAGCGCCTTGGCGCTGTCTTTCCGTATAGGCACTGGTTCAAGTCCCAGCTGCTCCACTTCTGATCCAGCTCTCTGCTAATGTGCCTGAAGAAGCAATGGAAGATGGCCCAAGTGCTTGAGCCCCTGCCACCCACATGGGAGACCCGGATGAAGCTCCTGGCTCTTGGCTTTGGTCTGGCCCAGCTCCAGCCATTGCAGCTACTGGGGAGTGAACCAGCGGATGGAAGATCTCTCTCTCTCTCTCTCAAAGGAGGAGCTGTAGACACACTGGGACAACGCCTTGTAATGGAGGCACAGACTAGGACGATGCCTCTCGAAGCCAAGGAATGCCAGATTTGTCCATAACCACCAGAAGCCAGGAAGAGGTAGAGACAAATTCTTTCCAAAAGCATTCATGTTGGACTTGAAAAAATAACAGGGACCTTGGAAAGAGCAAGACCTCCAGAGAATGGGGACAGAGTCCTGGAAGCCACAGCAGGGCTTAAAAGTGGCCACTGAAGGGTGGCTTCTGCCGGCTGGAAGTACAGAGCAAGGTGTTCTGGGCAAGGGAATTTCAGGAGAAAAGGCACAGAGGACGCACTGGAGAGCTCCATGAGCAGTGCCCCGCTTCCCAGGCGGCGTCACAGATGACCACAGACTGGGTGGCTTCAAGTGACCGGGCTTTATTCTCTGCAGTCCATTGTACCAATGTAAATTTTTCAAAAAGTACTTTCTTTCATTTTGCATTATTTTATAGAGAGAGACGGAGAGAGAGAGAGAGCCTCCATCTGCTGATTCACTCCACAAATGTCTGCGGCAGCCAGGACTGGGTTGGCCGAAGCCAGGAGCCCAGAGCTGAACCCAGGTCTGGGCAGGGGCCCAAGGACTTGACCTGACCCATCGCTGCTGCCTCTCAGTGTGTGCTTTAGCAGGGAGCTGGATCAGAGCAGAGGCGCTGGGACTTGAACCCAGGTACTCTAGGATGGGCTGCGGGCATCCCGAGAGACAGCTTGACCACCGCACCAAATGCCTGCCCCATTGCTTTAGTTTTGACAAACGTACCGTGATTATGTAAGATGTTAATATTAGAGAAGCCGGGTGAAGGGTATACAGGAATTCTCTATACTATCTGCAACTTTCCTGTGCACTTGAAGTTTCTTTTTTGCCCAAAATTAAAATTTACTTTAAAAAATGAAAATGGGGCCCAGCGCTGTGGTGCAGTGGGTAAAGCTGCCGCCTGCGATGCTGACATCCCCTATAGGCACGAGTTGATCGGGCTGCTCCCTTTCCAATCCAGCTCCCAGCTAATGGCCTGGGAAAAGCAGTGAAAAATGGCCCAAGTGCTTGGGCCCCTGGCACTCACATGGGAGACCCAGATGAAGTTCTTTGCTCCCCGGCTGTTGCAGCCATTTGGGGGAGTGAACCAGAGGATGGAAAACCCTTCTCATTCTCCCTTTCTCTCTGTAAGTCTGACTTTCAAAATAAATAAATAAACCCGAGTTTCCATGTGTTCTCTGATCCACTGTTGGTTCAGCTCCTCTGAGATCTCCGGGGCGGGGATTTACGGAGAACAAGAACTGCGGCAGCTCCGTGTGTGTCGGCACACGTGCAGAATATGGTGTTTACAGCGCAGCACACCAGCCACCAAAGTGACTCTGGGATAGACACAGACGCCTGATGACAAATACAAAAAATCATGTCTGGGGGGTGGGCCTTGTGGCCCAATGGGTTAGGCTGCTCCTTGGGACTCCCACATTCCATATCGGAGGGCTTGGTTCAGGTCCTGGCTACTCTCTTCCTGATCCGCTTCCTGCTGATGCTCCTGGTAAGCAGTGCACGGTGGTCCGAGTACCTGGATTCCTGCCGGCTGTGCGGGAGAAACAGAAGGAGTTTCCTTTCCTCTGGCTTTGGCCTGCCTGCCCTGGCTGATGTGGGCGTTTGGGAAGTAATCCAGTGGATGGAAGATCTCTGTCTCTTGTCTCTCTCTCTGACCATGTCCTCCTCTCTCTGGGTTATGCTATCTTTCAAATAAACAATCTTTCAAAATTTCATGCACACGTGTGTGTGTGTGTGTGTGTGAGAGAGAGAGAGAGAGACAGAGAGAGAGAGACTGGTGCCGCGGTTCAATAGGCTAATCCTCTGCCTGTGGCGCCGGCACCCCGGGTTCTAGTCCCGGTTGGGGTGCTGGATTTTGTCCCGGTTGCCCCTCTTCCAGGCCAGCTCTCTGCTGTGGCCAGGGAGTGCAGTGGAGGATGGCCCAAGTGCTTGGGCCCTGCACCCCATGGGAGACCAGGAGAAGCACCTGGCTCCTGCCTTTGGATCAGTGCGGTGCGCCGGCCGCAGTGGCCATTGGAGGGTGAACCAATGGAAGGAAGACCTTTCTGTCTCTCTCACTGTCCACTCTGCCTGTCAAAAAAAAAAAAAAAAAAAAAAAGGAGAGAGAGGTTGAATTGGTTATCAAAATTTAAGAATGTGTCTTCCTGAAATAATAATATTCATCTCTCAAGGGCTGGTTTCCTTCTCCTGTTGAACTTGGGGGGGATATTATTCCCATTGCCAATAGACTTGGTTGTTTCTTCAGACAAATTTTCCTGAGGCTGCCTGCATCCCATGTTGAGTGCTGGCGTGAGTCCTGGATCCTCCGGCTTCCGATCCAGATTCCTGCTGATTTGCCTGAGAGGCAGCAGTACGGCTTCAGCGCCACAAGCAGTCACCAGCTAGCCGCCATTCTTTATCGCTGACAGTCGTGGATTACAGTTGAGAGAGACGAAAGCCGGGTGCTGAAGGGACGATTATAAAGTGCATCCCAGGGGAGGAGTGGACCAGGCGCGAGAAAAGTCGGCACCCTTGGAGTTTTTAATCCCTACACATAACGGGCGTTGGCCGGCAACGTGGCTGTGGCGTTTGGGATTGCCGTCTGGGAGTCGCACGCCTGGGGTTTTCTGCGCACGTGACTACCAACGAGACGTTCTGGTTGTGCTCGGCTCCCGTTTTCTCAGGATGGTTTCACCACAAGTTAAACTGCGGAGTGAGTGGTCTCAGGTGGGTCCCCACCAAGGGCAGGGTTTCACCCCGAGAAGGGTCTTGTGGCCCCTGCCCGTTCTCGTCAAATTATCCGCCTGGACACAAGTACTTGGGTTCCTGCAGCTATGCGGGAAAGCTGGAGGGGGTTCCTGGCTCCTGCCTTGGGCCTGGCTTTGGCCTGTTCCAACTGCAGCTCTTGCAAGCATTTGGGGCGTGAACCGGCAGATAGAAGATCTGTCTCTTCTCTTCCTCTCTCTGTCACTCTGTGCCACAGCGCTGACCCTTCTTTCTTTGCCTTTCAAATAACGAAAATAAATAGCAAGACCTTTTCAAAAGTGACACTTTGGAACCTGCAGGATTGGGTCCACAGCTTTGTTGCTTCCTGTCCTACCTCCTTAAGTGGCACTTTTGAGTTAGGGCAAAGTGTGGGCTGGCTCATTCTACACCAACAAAACACGTGCAAACGCAGGGATAATTAGCATGTTAGGAAGAGAGTGAGATGGCTCTCTACAAACGTGAGGACTGGTGGGGTTAGTTAAGACAAAAGAGCCAGGATGATGACAGAAGAAAACAAACTACAAACACACAGCGAGAGCCAGTTCTGTCTCTGGTCACTTAGCCGAGGGTTTATGGCGATACTGGCGTGGGTCTGGCAGCTGGTTGCAGAAGCATATGTGGCCTTTTGTGTTTAGTATTTGCAAATATTCTCTTTAAGTCCTCAAAGAATCACTGCAGGTGCTTAGCAAACCCAGGATCCAGTCAGGCTGTCTACCAGCTAGCAGCCCTCTTAACAGATTATCCCTAATTTCAGAGCTGAAAGCAACATTATCCTCGCGGTTCGGGAGGAGCAGGAATCGGGGAGTGGTCAGTTGTGGTCAGCCCGCACGTGGGGGGCTGCAGGGATCCCACAGCTGGTGGGGGAGCTAGAGAATGCCTCCCATCCTCTCTCTCAAAAAGTTCATGGAAAGGGTGCATTATGAAAGCAAAATCTGCACGGATTTCAAGCATTTTTGCATCAAAATAAACTGATCTTTTGGTCCACTTTCCACCAGCCCGCGGGTGGTCTGGCGGGTCAGCCCCCAGCAGCTGTGGGCCGGTGAGCTCTGCTCCCGGGGCCTCCCCGGCATTTCCTGAGTCTTCTGGCGACAGGACAGCGGCTTCCTGCAGTGTGTGGTTGGGAGCGAGCCCCCGGGGTGGAAGACAGGTTCAAAGAACCAGTGCTGTCCACACAGCAGCCCACAGCATCTGTCATGTGCTGCCGTCCACACCAGGGAGCCAGCCATGCCTCAAGAAGCAAGGCCAGCGGGGGCCATTCACAGCCCTTACCCAGTCTCAGGTATTTCAATGCCACTGGAAAACTTGCAAAAGGATGATGTAACAGTTGTCATGTAAATGTTTGTAGATTTGCAACTACTTACATTTATAAAGAAATTAAACTATGTATTTAGGGAGGTACTTTTTATTCTTTTAAGATTTATTTATTTAGAAGGCAGAGTTAGAGAGAGGGATCCTCCAGCCACCAGGTCACTCCCCAAATGGCTGCAATGACCGGGGCTGGGCTGCACCCACTCACGAGCTTCTTTCTGGTCTCCCATGTGGGTGCAGGGGTCCAAGCACTTGGGCCATCTTCCACTGCTTTGCCCAGGCCATAGCAGGGAGCTGGATTGGACGTGGAGCACTGAGGACAGGAACTGGCGCCCGTGGGGGACAGCAGGCAGCAGCTTTACCCCTACATCACAACCCTGGCCCTGGGAGGAAGGTGTTTTAGAAAAAAATCTTGCTGGGGTCACAGTTTGAAGCGCAGTGGTGAGCTCAGCTCTGCTGCTCTGGTCTGCCACAGCTCCCACCCCGTTCCTCTGGGCTCTTTTATCTCCCCCACCTGGTGTTCTCTTAGCCTAACCTAGGGCAACTGATAACTTCACACTGGAACCAGAATTTGGGTGATTTGTGAATTACTTGAAATTAAAAAAAATATTGAGAGAGTTGGAGGTATATGGGTGCGTGCTGGGCTGATCCGAACCAGGAGCTTCTTCCGGGTCTCCCACGCAGGTGCAGGGGCCCAGCACTTGTTTATTTGAAAGGCCAGTGACCCATCTTCTTCTGCCCATTCACTCCCCAAATGGCCGAACGGCCGATGCCACGAGCCGGGAACCCCATCCTGTTCTCCCAAGCCGGTGCCGGGGTCTTGCTGCCCGGGCCATCTTCAGCCGCCTTGCATTAGCAGAAAGCTGGATCCCACCAGCCGGGACTCGAACCAACCAGCGCAAACCAGAACCAGCATCCCGAGGCGCCCCCAGGAAACTAAAAATAACCATTCGCCTCCAACCCTGCTAGAATATTTTATTTAGCACCATAAACAGTAAACCACACAGCGCTAAAATTACGCCAAGGATTGCAAAAACACAAACTGCCTGGAGAAGTTTCCAGCCAGGCTAAAGGGACCAAGGCGAGGGCCGAATTTAAGTCGGTGGGCGCAGTCCAGCCCCTGCACTCACGGGAACGCGGTCTTAGGCTTCTGCGTCCAGGAAGCCCCCGCAGACCACCCCCACCGCCTGCAGCGGGACCGGGGTGCAGAGGGGCGGTGGGCGGCCCGAGGCTCGGACGCGCCTGGTCAACGCCAGGGCACACTCAGCCCGTGGCGGCGGCGTGGGGAACCCTGCCCTCGCCCTCCCCCCGGAGCACTCGGGCACAGAGCCTGCGGCGTCCGGCCAGGGCGCCCCGGAGACCCCCGGGGTCGGCTTGGACCGCTCCGTTAATGCAAAGGCGAGCGAGGAGCCTGACCGGGCGTGGGCCCCCGGACGGAGGAGGCGGCTGCGGTCACCCCGGGACAGAGGCGAGGCCAGGCTGGGTCGAGTCAGGACGTCGCGGGCCCCGTCCAGCCAGGCGCCGGCCGGGCCCCGCGGGACACCGCGGGCGGGGTGGGCGGAGGGACCGCAAGATGGCGGCGCGCGGGCGGGCGCGGCGAGCCCGAGCTCCCGGCGTGCCGCGCGGCGCCCGGCTTCCGCCTGTGGGCGGCGCGGGGGCCGGTGGCGGCCGGAAGTCGGCTGAGCCGGCCTCTCGGAGCGCCGCCCGCACTTCCGGGGGCCTCGAGCCGGGCCCGAGTCTTCCCGGTAGGCGGCGCGGGCGGGAGCGGAGGTTGGCGGGGCCGGCCCGGGCGGATCCCCTGCTCCCCTCCATGCGAGCAGCTCCCCGAGCCCGCATCTGGCGAAGGCTGCCCGGAAAGGTGGGGCCGGTGGCCGAGCCGGGAACATGAGGCAGTGTCTCCTCTCGCTGACCGGCCTGGTTGCTGTGGTGCTGGCGCCGAGACCTCCGGACGACGCGGACCTCGGCTCCCACCAGCGGCTCGGTGAGGCCCCGGGGGGAGTGGGCCGGGCGCCGGGGCCGCGCTGCGGGCGGCCGCGTCTGTCAGGTGTCTGGGGGCGGGGTGCCGGCCGATGGCGGCGCGTCCCGGGTTTTCCCTGTAGGAAGGGGGTGTGGCGCTCTGCGGGGAGAGAACGGGGCTGGTCCCCTGAGCGGGAGAGGGGTGCTCGAGGGCCCCCGACGTGGTGTGTGCTTCTGGAGGCCGGGGGCGGGGCGGGGGCTCGGGTCCCTGGGCGCCCCGCGGGGACTGGGGTGCGTGGCGCGCTCCTCCGAGCGGTCCCGGGAGGAGGGAGGGAGGCCCCGGCCGCGGAGCCGGTCCTGGCGCTCCGAGCAGAGCTAGTTTCTGCTGTGGGAGGTGCTTATGCATGAATCTGGTCGCGAGGCGGCGGCCCGGGCGGTCTCGGGTGCATTTTCCGAGTGCATGTGGAGGCCGGGAGCGGGGTCTCGCGGACGCGGGGCGCCCTTGGTGACTTAAGTTCTTGGAGGTGCTTGGGGGCGGGGGCGGGGGCAGGGAGCGCGGCTTAGCGGGGATGGTCGGCGTTTGAGCCCGGGACGCAGAGGGCTCCCGTGGGACCCGCGTTTCTAGACCTGACCGTGTAGGACGGGCTGGGCTTCGCAGGGGGGCTTGGTGGCAGTCCGTTTGTGCCAGCTCAGGGTGCAGTGTGGACGGGCAGCGCAGCTTGATCGACGGGCGGAAGAGTGCGGAGCGGTTTGTTCGGAGTGCGAAGTTGCCGTCTGTCATCCCGGTGCTCGCCCAGGGCCCCAGAGCCCTAGTGTCGGCACGTTGGGACAGAATTTTTGCATGAGGTTGCCACTTGGCTTTTTTTTTTTTTTCTTATTGAATGGACAGGAATTGGAGTTGGCTGAATGAGTATTAAAGGTGTTTTCTCTGTCTTGCGGTTGTCTCAAACTGAAATGCGTTACAAGTGGGCTGGGCCGTTAGCAAGTGCTGAGTGCCGTGAGTCCACGCGGATTGAGGGGCGGTCTTGCAGCAGGTGTGGTCAGGAGGGAGGGCAATGTGACTAAAAGCGCAGACGGGTTTTGAGACACTGAAATCACATTTTCAGTACCATTTCCCTTGTTAGTACATTCTGTTAACAGGTGGAAAAGCAAGCGGGAATGCTAGAGAAGCTTAGGGTATGGAGGAAAAATAATTCTCTCCACATTAAAAAAGTACTACGTATTTGCAAGGCAGAGTTATGGGAAGGAGGGGAAGAGGCAAACAGAGAGAGAGAGAGAGAGATTGTCCATTCGCTGGGTCACTCCCCAGATGAGCGCAGCGGCTGTAGCTGGGCCGGTCCGAGGCCAGGAGCTTCCTTTGGGTCAGCCTCGTAGGAGCAGGGTCAGAGGACCTGGACCATCCTCCGCTGCTTTCCCCGGCACATAAGCAGGAGCTGGATCTAAGTGTCCAGCCAGAACTTGAACCAGAGCCCATATGGGATGCCGGCACCACAGGCGGCGGCCCCACTTGCTACACCGCAGCACTGGCCCCGCATCATTTTTTAGTAACATTTGCAGATCATAAGATTTTTTTTGACCACTGGGCTTTTTTTTTTTTTTTAAAGATTGATTTGGCCGGCGCCGCGGCTCACTAGGCTAATCCTCTGCCTTGCGGCGCCGGCACACCGGGTTCTAGTCCCGGTTGGGGCACCGGATTCTGTCCCGGTTGCCCCTCTTCCAGGCCAGCTCTCTGCTGTGGCCCGGGAGTGCAGTGGAGGATGGCCCAGGTGCTTGGGCCCTGCACCCCATGGGAGACCAGGATAAGTACCTGGCTCCTGGTTTCGGATCAGCGCGGTGCGCCGGCTGCAGCGCACCAGCCATGGCGGCCATTGGAGGGTGAACCAACGTCAAAGGAAGACCTTTCTCTCTGTCTCTCTCTCTCACTGTCCACTCTGCCTGTCAAAAAAAAAAATTGATTGATTTATTTGAAAGGCAGAATAACAGCGAGTGAGTTCGTCCATCTGCTGGTTCACTCTACAAATGCCTACAACAGCCAGAGCTGGGCCAGACTGAAACCAGAAGCCTGAAGCTCAATCTGGGTGTCCCGTATCATCTACTGCCATCATCTACTGCCTTGTCAGTTGTGTGCTTTAGCAGGAAGCTGGGTGGGAAGCGGAGCAGCCTGGACTTGAATTGGTGTTTAATTTGTTGTGCCACACTTCTGATTTATTTTATTTATATGAAAAGCAGAGAGACATCTTCATCTGCTGGCTCACTCCCAAATGGCTGCAATGCCCAGGGCTGGGCCAGGCCAGGCGGAAGCCAGCAGCTTCATTTGGTTCTTCCCAGGGGCCGGGGCCCAAGGACTTGAGCCATCTGCTGCTGCTTTCCCGGATGCATTAGCAGGGAGCTGGTTCCGAGTGGAGCAGCCCGGACTGGAACCAGCGACCATATGGGATGCTGGCATTGCAGGCTGTGGCTTAACTTGTTATGCCTCAACGCCAGTCCCACATTTAAAAAAAAAAAGATTTATTTATTTGAAGGCAGTCACAGAGAGAGATCTTTCATCCACTGGTTCACTCCCCCAGGTGGCTGGAGCTGGGTCAGGCCAAAGCCAGGAGCCTGGAATTATGTCTGGGTCTCCTACGTGGGTGGCAGGGGCCCAAACACTTGGGCCACCCTCCCCTCCATTAGCGGGGAGCTGGGTCTGAGGTGGAGCGGCTGAGACTGGTGCCTATATGGATGCCGCTGTTAGAGGTGGTAGCTTGTAGACTAACCTGCTACACCACAGCGGTGGTCCTGCGAGCTCTCCTCCTCCTCCTCTTTGTGCAGAAAAATTCACAGACCTACTCTGCCAAGTGTGTTGTAGTGGAATAGCGATTTGTAGAGTTAAGCGACGTGAAGGGGAGCTTAGAGCACAGGAAGGTGGTGAAGGCTTCCTGGAGGAGGTGATTCCTGAGCCCGGGCTTCAGGGTTAGTGAAGAGGGAAAGTGAGGACACGCCTGGTGGTGGAATTGGGGACTGTGAGAATCTAAGAGGAATGATGGGTCTCAGAAGGTGCAGAGAATCTTCAGCTTTGCACAGCAAGCGATGAACCATGCTTTGTGGGCATTTGAAGAATGCCTTTTTGAGTGTTTGACAGCTTAGGTTGTGATTTGTTGTTTGACCCTGCTGCCATGTTTTAAATTGAGTTGATCACGACCATCAGCTGGTTCCTAGTAAAGAGTGTGGCTTGTTTATTGGCCTGTTCTGCAAATGTTACAGTAATCGCTGTGTTGAAGATTGATCAGACATATGACAACGTTTTTCTGAAGGACACAATCCATATAATAAATAGAGCTGGCTTTTGGAGTGCTCCATTGGTCCCCAAAGTGATTTCAGCTGAACTGTTAGGAATTGCGTAATTTAGGAAAGTTATGAGTCATATGAGCTAGTCATGATGGTATCTTGTGGAAGTTGCAGCTGGGGCGTATAAGTCTCTGATTTCAAAATTATTTTCCCTTTGTGTTACTTTTAATAGAGGAGGATGTAGTGGGTGGAAGGGAAAAATATAGGCCACAGAGGATGGCTGAAGGTTTGTATCTAAACGTGTTTTGAAATTTGCCTTGGTGACTGACATGGGGATCTCCCATATTGCAGTGCCCGTCTCATTATTGACAGCACCGTCTGACTTCAGGCTTCCTCTTTTGACGTCAGATTTGCTTATAGATTGCACTTCTTTGAAATCCAAGCTCTTAACTCGTAACTGCTCCAAGCGAGGTTTAATGCAACACTGCTTTGTACTAGTCAAAGGGATAAACTATTTCTAGTGTAGCATGGAGAGTTAAGCAGAGAGAGCCATGATGGCAAGACTGTAGAAGTCCTTTTGGCTTTCACGGGATTTTCTGTACTGTAAAGTCAGATCATTTCCACAGCCAAGTGTGGTTGATTTTTGGATTGCATTTGTTAGATGGTGAGTGCATACAGCTGGCAGGAGAGGAGGACGGAAGGTGCAGGAGTAGGCGCTAGTGAGTAGGGAAGTGAAATCGGCCTAGGAGGGGGTGCCCCCCCCCCGTCTCCTTCCATTCTTCCATTTCCTTTTCTTAATTTTTTTCTTTTATCACGAGTTGTAGACCCTGGTTTCACTTTCCATTTGAGTGTGTTCTGCCTACTAAGTGTGTATCCCATCCCTGGTGAGGAGATTCCATAGGGAATTATTGTGGCAACTCACAGTCTGTCTTCCCTTATTGAGTTTATGCCTAATATTATTTCGGGTTAACTTTTTAAAAAAATGGTTTATGTGAAAGAGTGACAGAGCAACCGAGACAGAGATGTCTTCTATCTGCTGGTTCACTCCCCAAATACCCGCAATACCCCAGGGTTGGGTCATGCTGAAGCCAGGACCCCAGAACTCCTTCTAGATCTCCTGTGGGGGTGCCTGGGACCCAACTGCTTGGGCCATCATCTGCTGCCTTCCTTCCCAGCTGCATTTGCAGGAAGCTGGGTCAGAAGTGGAATGGGGGATCGGCACTGTGGCTTAGCGGGTAAACCTGCTGCCTGCAGTGCCGGCATCCCATATGGGCGCCAGTTTAAGACCCGGCTGTTCCACTTCCAGTACAACTCTCTGCTATGGCCTGGGAAAGCAGTGGAAGATGGCCCAAGTGCTTGGACCCCTGCACCTGTGTAGGAGACCAGGAAGAAGCTCCTGGCTCCTGGCTTTGGATCGATGCAGCTCCTGGCCATTGCAGCCATCTGGGGAGTGAACCAACGGATAGAAGACCCCTCCCCCTCACCTCCTTCTCTGTGTAACTCTGCCTTTCAAATAAGTAAATCTTTATTAAAAAAAAAAAAAAAAAGTGGAGTGGCTGAGACTTGAACCGTGGGTGCTGTTGGCTTAACCTGCTGCTTGTGACACTTGCCCTGGGGTCGTCCTTATCCTTCACCCGCCTCGCAGTGGGAGCAGGTGGTGTCTGCCGGGGTGTGTACCATGCTTGCTGGCCGTGTGCAAGGAAAAGGAGGTTTGCTGCAAGAGAATTACAGAGAGAGTCAGAGTTACACACACACGCA